AGTGCTGGATTCGTGGCTCAGGTACAGCTGAACTGAGCTGGTGGCCATCAGAGACAGTTCGGTTGAGTCCTGAAATCCGCACTCCGCGGACAGCGTCTCCTGAGGACAACGGAATAGCGCAGCAGAGTGTGAGGAGCAACGGTCAAGAGGAGGAGGGGGAAGCGGGGGTGCAAGTTGGCCCAGCTAAAAGCTAGAAAACCACTGATTCCTACTCTCTTTCTGGCAAATGTCTACTCACTGGATAACAAAGTGGACTTGTTACATCTGAGGATGAGTGTTTCTACAGAGATGAAGAACTGTGCTGTTCTTTGCCTAACGGAAACCTGGCTTAACCATAACGTGCTGGACTTAGCCTCAACGGTCTTCAGTTATTATGAGCGGATCGTGACTGTCGGTCAGGGAAAACATGGGGGTGGGGGGGTACTCTGTGTGTTTGTGAATAAAGGAAGCTACGGAGAGCTGCACTTGGGAGCTCTGTACTGAGGAGCTTCTATTGCTGTGTGGTGGAGAGCGTTCTCTGCACCTGCATCACCGTGTGGCACGGCAGCTGCACTGCTGCTGAGAGGGTGGCTTTGCAGAGGGAGGCTGCAACTGTGGTCCTACCACCTCGGACCTCTACACATCACGATGCAGGGGGAAGGTGCTCCTCATCATGAAGGACTCCACTCATCCTGCACACAGTCTGTTCCAGCCCCCACTCCCCTCGAGCAGGCAGCTAAGGAGCATTCACTGCTGCTGAGAGGGTGGCTCTGCAGAGGGAGGCTGCAACTGTGGTCCTACCACCTCGGACCTCTACACATCACGATGCAGGGGGAAGGTGCTCCGCATCATGAAGGACTCCACTCATCCTGCACACAGTCTGTTCCAGCCCCCACTCCCTCGAGCAGGCAGCTAAGGAGCATTCACTGCTGCTGAGAGGGTGGCTCTGCAGAGGGAGGCTGCAACTGTGGTCCTACCACCTCGGACCTCTACACACCATGATGCAGGGGGAAGGTGCTCCGCATCATGAAGGACTCCACTCATCCTGCACACAGTCTGTTCCAGCCCCCACTCCCCTCGAGCAGGCAGCTAAGGAGCATTCACTGCTGCTGAGAGGGTGGCTCTGCAGAGGGAGG